TCAATAAAACATTGTTACCGTGTATTTTAACTTGATATAACAGTAGGTTTTTGTTTGTTGCAATAAAACAGTTGTTTTATCATATACGAAGTTGCTCAATCGAGCAAATTACATAAGCATATATATTCAACTAAGTTCTTTCAGTGATTCAATCACTTGAAAAAGAATGTTTAGGCTTTTTAAGACTAATGGTCCTTGAACTTAACCACAACCTATGTTTTGGTCCTCCAACTCAATTATTGGTTTCGTTAGTCTCTCAACTCAGCTTCCATTTGTACCGTTGGTTCTTCCGTCATAAGCTGTTACATTAGTCATTTTAGGTAGTTTTTACTTTCTACTAACTTCCGTTCTAAAATCATTATTCCTTGTCTAATTTAACCCTAACTCATCTTCCCAAGTCGAATTGTGATTCTGATAAGAAACAACAACTAGTGGACCACTCCTTCCACCAAATGCGACGGCAAGCCACCGTCCCCTTCTTATTTTCCACAAAGTCTATTTTTCATAAGAAAAAGGGGATCTATGGATGAAGTTTGAGGATGGGGGAGGAATGGGAAATGGTTAAAACCTTGGGGATTAGACCTTCACTGGTGACTGGGTTATTTCTTTGTTGTCTTCGATGGTGGTGGTCGGAATGGTGGGGTTGTGTACATAGTGATGGTGGGGAAGGCATAGTTGTTTTTTTTTTTTTTTTTTTTTTTTTTTTTTTTTTTTCAAACAAAAATAAACAGATAAACAACTTAAAGACAATCAACATAAACATCATAAACTACCAAGTCCTAAGAGGGCAACAAACTAACATAATAAAAACAAAACTAAAGAGGACAAAAGCCGCACTAAAACTACTAGTTCACATCACTACAATTAACCATAAGCCCAAACAAAGCCCTACATACACAACATAATTGAAACCATAAAGCAACCCATGAGCCTAAACGAACCCTATCACCACCACCTAAGAAAGCGTCGTCACGGCCATACTCACCATCGCATCCGTAATAGATCTGGGAAAAACATGGTTTCCAGCGATTTACCTGCACATAGGAGTGAACAAATAAATGTAAACAACTACCTTAACAAAGAATAATTTTGTGATTTGTAGCAACCTTCATCAAAGATGATGTAGAGCAAAATTTAGAGAATATGAGCAATGTTAGAGAGTGGATTTTAGGAGAATGGTTTCTTTGAGATCACTTAAAAGGGATAGGGGGAATTTCAAACTGAGCATAGCTCATAAGAAATCACCACAAAAAATTTCTTAATTCAAAACTTTCCAGTGAACTTACTCAACGATAAATAACTTACATAATAAAATACATTGATTTTGAGTATTGGAGGATGAATCAATTGATATGGCTGGACTTTCCTTTTTTGTTTTTTCCTTTATGTTGATTGTGTAAGTGGGCGTACAAACATTTACTATATAATTGTTAATGAAGTTATTATTATTATTATGAATGATTACAGGGTTTGCACAAAAACAACTTGTGGTAAATGCATTGTACATTGGGGGCCACTAAAATGGTTATATGGTTACGCCATTTCTAAAAAGAAAGGAGCTGCAGCCTTTAGACCAAAGGTTTTGTGTGTGTGGTTGTTGGGATATTCCCGGTCATTCACGGTATGTCACGCATAATAACTTTTTCATGTGACAGTTTGTGATTGGTTAAGGATAGCAAAACAGTGTTGTCCTCATTTCATATAAGTTTTTGTGATGTGAGTGATGGAGACTAAACCAGCCATATATGGTACGAAATGCTCCAGGGTGGCTTCGCCTCTGGTGGTGGGAGTGATGGAGTAGATGTGAGTGATGGAAACTAGGCATAAAATGACAATTTTGGGCTTAAATTTGACATAAAATGGTAACAAATATGATGCCAAGGCAAATTATACGAGACAAAGCAAAATTGAGGAACAATATGAAATCAATAATCGAGTTGGAGGACCAAAATATAAATCGTACTTAAGTTCAAATACCAATACTCCTAAAAAACCAAAGATTTAATATATATTTGCTAAGCAAAAAAACTATTCAAAATAAAGGGGAAAAACCTTATTGTAAATGAAACTTCCCTTTGTTTCGTTTTCATGAATTTCAAAATCTTTTATCATGCATAGATACATATGCATTGGGAATGGTAAAGTGCAAGGACCGGAGGTGGTGATTGCATTTGTCATTCCAAAAGACTCATGTCCCATTAGACATGATTGCTTGAAGTAGGCCCCTACTGGTGGCTCAAGCCCGTGACCGAAGTCAGAAAAATGTCGCCATTCATTACTCTCATCCATGATTAATAGTGGCCTTGCTAGTTTCTGTATCCAATATTGTTGAATTATTGGAGGTCCAGATGTGATGATTTAATTGACCCATGATCTAACTACACCAAACAGTGAAGATGATATGATGTTACGACTAAAGTAAGTGCTAGTTGTGAGAAGTTACGATCCACAAACCTCATAAGGTTAATTAGCAATATGGAGCTAGTTGTGAGAAGTTACGATCCACAAACCTCATAAGGTTAATTAGCAATATGGTGGCTCATAATGTCACACACTTAGTTGTTGTTGGTGCTTGAACTCTTCATAATTAATGGATATAGCTAATTATATTTCTCGATCTAATAGTAGTCCTTTTGTTCACAATATCGGAAGAGATTTTACGTTCGAATTCCTCATTCCCTCATTAATCAAAGAAAAGTAATGAGTATAGCCAATGTGTAATGTTTCTCGTCTCAATAAATTTTAATCCATTGTTATCATCATTAATGTGGCTTCATGCAATCATTTTTCTAAATAATTCCGATGAATTTGGTATAATTCAAACATTGACAAATAAGATAGCATTGGCTGAAATATGATACAACACGCAAAATTATAGCATGTCAAATTATCGTATCGAGTTTGAGTTTTAAAAAATTTGATTCGACATGAAACACAAAATATTATGACACGTTGTCAAATCTCCCTAATAACATTAAAAGATTCGTAATGAGTTTATTATTTTGGCTGGCATAATCTCATGTAGGAGTGAGAGCACTTGTATTCCAGTCACGTGAAAATCGTGGTGTGGAAGAAAGAAAGATGAAATGACAAGACTAACCAAATGCATGAGTGATGTCCTCTTGGTTTTGGGGTTTAGACCCAAAAAAAAAGTCCTCTTGGTGGACCTACTTCACCATGCACCCTTTAAAATTGTGGCCCTCAAAACTGAAAACAGCCCTCTTTGGGCACTCTAGCTTCCAACATTAGCAATCCTTCTCATGTGCTCTCGGTTGGGACAACATATATTGAAGGAAAAAATGGAAAGAAAATGATTGATGGATGAGTAATGTTTCACAGGTTTAAGTTGCTAGCTATGATTAATCTCTACTCTCTTTTTCACGAACACACTCATTTTTACTTGTAAATGTATAGGAAATGTTTAGATATGACATGTGTCGAGTGTGTTGTGTTGATCGGAATAGGGTTTTGATGTGTTATCGTTGTCATCCTCCAATAAATGTTGAGAAGCACTTGGTCTAAGTGTGTTGTATTGCTCGGAATACGGTATTGATAAGTTATTGCTATCATTATCCATATAACATGTCAATAACAAAACGTACCAACATGTTATCGATCGTCGACAATATCAACAAAACTCATACTTCAACAAAGCAGGAACGTCCCACACAGAAAAATCCTTTGTGTTTAGGCTCACGATGTGAGCTTTAGCGACTATGGAGATTTGAGTCCTGATATTTTTGTTTGGTGGCCATCCATTAATTTTTCTGCGGCAGTCGTGAGGACTTGCTAGCAAATTGGAGGCATGATATTAAGAGGACAACAGTTTGGCTGTCTTCATTCCACGACACTTTTGATCCACGTTATAAAATAAATTGTCAAGAGTTGTTTGTACTATTGGCAGTTTTCCTTTCTTTCAGCAATGGAAAAAAATATATAAAAAAATAAAAAAGTTACTTTAGCTAGTTAATTTCAAATCTGGTTTTTTTTCCAATAGAATTGGAACCATACCCTACATATTATTGATATTTGCTTCTCTCCATAATGGTACAGACTGTAATCCTGGCAGGTACAGACTTATTACAGTATTGCAATTGGATTTTCTTTTACTGTTTTTTTCCCTTTAATTTATCCTCCTATTAAGGTATGGGTAAGCGGTTGCCCCTACAGCATTCCCTTTTCCACTTTCAGTTATTTCCCAGATTGGCTCTTTCCATAATTATATATGCCCTTCCCCCATTCACCACAAATTCTACCATCTCTGTTTACCCTAAAATAAAATAAAAACAAAACCACGCATATATGAATTAGACAAGTTGATCCAGCTCCCTTTACACTCAAGTTCGAATCTCTCTCCTCAAATTTGGAGAGGCCTTCTCACTCTAGGCAGTAAATCAGCAAGTTCACATTAATCCTAGCTTGCTTATTACAAAAGTAGAGCGTCCCACATTTAAAATGTGGTAAGTGTAGCATTACTCCATTTAAAATGCACCTTCAAACAACAAATTTAGAAATATTTTTATTTTATATATTTAGAAATACTGCTTTTCGTGGAAACGGTGTGGACCCATAATTTTTTTGGTTTGGCTGTTTAACTTTGATGTTTTCTTTTTTTCTTCTCCCAATAATAAAGAAATACATATAATAAATAAAAAATACTCACAAAAATATGAGGGTGAGGTGAGCGAGGGTAGGTGTGAGATTTGACCAAACCACCTCCTCTTCACAACAACAGACTCTTCCACTCTACTTCCCTCTCTCTCTCTCTCTCTCCTCATCATCATTTCTCCATTTCCCATTTGCCTTCCTCTCTCTCTCTCTCTCTCAATATAAAAACCCATCTCCAGCCTCCCTTTCTTCTCAGCTTGACGTTCCCTTTTCCAGAGAGAACACCAAGCTTTCTTCCACCTACCAAAACATTTTCCAATTTCTCATTCTTTTTCTCTTCATTCCATCTAACTCCCCAACACTCCCGCACGACACAACACAACACAAACACAATGCAGGCTCTTCTTCCCCCCTCCTCTAATAATCTCAAAATTAGCCACGTCCCCACCCGACTCACCCGGGTCGTCCCCACCCGTTTCGCCGTCGTCAAATGCGCCTACCGTTCCGATGCCGTCCACTTCCACAACGGCATCGGCTCCAGTCGCGCCGACTGGCAGAGCTCCTGCGCCATTCTCGCCAGCAACGTCGTCTCCCAGCAGCCCCAGCCGCCTCCCGACAAACCCGGAACCGCTGACCACGTCGCATCGGTCAACGGCCACAAGACCAACGTTGACCTCGACCTAGTCCCCATCGAGAAGCTCTCCTCCTCCTCCTCCGCGGATGACAAGTCCTGTTCTCCCCCTCCACCTCCCCGGGCCCTCACCATCACCGACCTCTCTCCGGCTCCGATGCACGGCTCGCAGCTGCGCGTGGCCTACCAGGGCGTCCCCGGCGCGTACTCCGAAGCCGCCGCAGGCAAAGCCTACCCGAAATGCGAGGCCATCCCCTGCGACCAGTTCGAAGTCGCCTTCCAAGCCGTCGAGCTCTGGATCGCCGATCGAGCCGTCTTGCCGGTCGAGAACTCCCTCGGCGGCTCAATTCACCGAAATTACGATCTTCTCCTCCGCCACCGTCTCCACATCGTCGGCGAGGTCCAGCTCCCAGTCCACCACTGCCTCCTGGCCCTCCCAGGGGTCAGAAAAGAGTACTTGAACCGAGTCATCTCGCATCCTCAAGCTCTGGCTCAGTGTGAGTTGACTCTGACCAAACTCGGCCTCAACGTCGCGCGCGAAGCCGTCGACGACACCGCCGGCGCCGCCGAATTCGTCGCCGCCAACAACCTCCGCGACACCGGAGCGATTGCCTCGGCTCGCGCCGCCGACCTGTACGGCCTGGAGATCCTGGAGACTGGGATCCAGGACGACTCGAGCAACGTGACTCGGTTCGTGATGCTGGCTCGGGAGCCGATCATTCCCCGCACGGATCGGCCGTTCAAGACGAGCATCGTCTTCGCTCACGACAAAGGGACCTCCGTGCTGTTCAAGGTCCTATCGGCCTTCGCCTTCAGGAACATCAGCTTGACGAAGATAGAGTCGAGGCCGCACCGGAACCGTCCGATCAGGCTGGTGAGCGATTCGAACGAAGGGACGGCGAAGCATTTCGAGTACCTGTTCTATGTGGACTTCGAAGCGTCCATGGCGGAGGTTAGGGCACAGAACGCGTTGGCGGAGGTTCAGGAGTTCACGTCTTTCTTGAGAGTCCTGGGAAGCTACCCGATGGATATGACCCCTTGGTCTCCTTCCAGGGGCGATTAGTGGAATTACTTGATTCATTAGGCCCCTCGATAGTAAATTATTACCGCAAAAAACAAGGACCCGGGAGAAAATTTGAATAATTTCGAGTTTTCTCCCTCATTCACTTTGTTACCTTTTCTTTTCTTTTTTTAATTTTTAATTTTTAATTTTGGTGGATCTAAATCTACATCCATGCCCGTGGCTTGGTCCGTTCCATCCATCCCAAACAAGTAAAAAGAATTTGGAATTTGCTGTTGCGTAAATATATTTGAAAAATTTGTGGGTGTTACGTGTAAGCTTGTAAAATCTCCATCTGTCATTCAATGACTCAATGCTTTTGTGTATTTTTAGATAATGGGTTTCTTAGATTTTGATCAACTTTGTTTCCCAAGTTACTAATGGAATATTTTAGTGGCTGATGCCTATCAAGTGACTAAAGTGTTGTGCTTTATTAGTCACTAATGGAATCAAAAGTTCCTTGATTATTAGGTTTAGTAACCTGGTTGAAATATGTCATTGTCCAAGTCGGCACAAAAACACCCATTTTTCTTCTTCTAAAATGTTTTTTGCTTTTTATGTTCACTCGAAAATCATTAGTTTGCTCGTCATATCACATTTATATAGAAATGTATCGGCCTTGACACTTAACAGGAACAACTCTTGCCACGAAATTTGTGGCGGGGAGGACTTTTTCTTGCCCCTTGGGTCAAAATTGTTCATCAAATATTTCTCTTTTATTTTATTTTTTTGCGGTTTAATAGGACAAGCCATTTGCAAGGGCATGAAAGATTCCCTACTTATTGTCTCATGCGTCTGCAATCTAGAGAAAAAGGTGAACTGACTTGGACGACATCTGCTAAATTCAAAATCTTCCCATACAAAATATCTGCATCTACGTAATGTAATACATGTGTCTATTTACGTTTTTTGTATTGTTTCAAAAGAAACTCTCGACGCCACAAATGAAGTTTTTTATACTCATTTAATTTTAAATTTTATATCGTAATCCAAACACTAAAATCTAAATCTTAAAACAATACACTTGCAAAAAATAAGTGGGAGAGATCTTGTCTTATTGCAACAAGAACATAGAATAATTTACACTAACAATTTTTTATTTTCTTATTTTATATAGCTTTTTGTTTTTCCCAATATTTTTATAATCTAATCATGATTCTCCCTTAGTGGCTAGGTGAACATGGATTGAAGCAAGGAGGTAGTTTGCGAATGGATGAGAATGTTTGGAGAAGCTCGTGCTTGGGTTGTTCGAAAGCTTATTCAGGCTTTGTTTTCACCAACCAAAACCGAGTGAGGTACGTAAGTCTAAGTTTTGATTTCAAGCTATTGAGAATAAGTCAAGCCCAAACCACATAAAAATACAATAAACTTGGCATTCTTGCACTTATCTTTCTTCTTGCTTCCACACCCACCAACCGAACGAGTTTGAACACCATCAATCTAAGGTTTCAAACTTTCATTACTCTTTCAAATACGAAGTTACTTTACTTGAAGCAACTTCTTTTATTTTAAGGAAGAATGATGTGTGCGACACGCACGTGGGAAATTGATTGTCATTGATTGATATGTAAATCTCTCATGATATGATTTATTCCAATCAATACAATTCAATTGTTCGTACAAGTTCATGCACTTATGATTACTTAGATATCAAAGTCGTATCCTAAAAACTTGAAAAGAAAGCTTTGTAGACCCTAAATGATCCATTTATGACCAAAACTATACAAGTGTCATTATTCGTCCAAGTAAATAGAACAATAATCAAATGTTAAAAACGGTGATTTGGAATAAAATTAGATGACGTGGGGATGATAATTAGGATAAAATAATGAGCGAGCGTTTAGAAAAAGAAATATAAGAGGGGTTGAAAAAGAGGGTTTGGTGGGGAAAGGAGGGGCATGATGGGGTGTGTGGTAGGTGGACCATTGTGCAATTTGTGCCTTGGCAGCTTTGCTTGCTAACAAGTGGTTGATAGCAACTTCACTTCATTATGACGCCCTCCCCACCTCTCCCTGACGTTCGTCGACATTTCCTTCCTTCATTTAGTGCCATGTTGTTGTTGGGGCCATATTAGAATCAACAATTGTTTTCAAACTTAAATTCCCTGTTTCAAACAAAATTTCTTTCCTACAACCGGTTGTATGCAGAGTGTAAGTTCTGAATTGGTATGTTTTAGTGAACGTGTGTTGCTCCAAGGGTGGATATCAAATAGAGGTGGTGATAGTGGGGGGGGTATGCGTACCAGGGAGTTGGGGTGCTGGGGGCTTACACTTTTGGGGCAGGGGTAGTCAACTCTTGACTCTGTCGTTAAGTAGTCATCACTCGGTGGGGGTGATGAGAAGAGGGGGTGCGTGGAAGCGGGTGACCTGGGCTTCTCGAGTGGGGGGGGGGACGTTTGTGTTCGTCGAGGCCACTAGGTTTGAAGGAGTGTACGTTTAGTATTGGTTAGGCGGGTAACTGCACGGGCTATGTCTGCGGTGACTCGTGTGACTGGGATGCTGCGGGGGCTAGGGGGCCCGAATGGGGGTGTCAGATTGTGTGGCAAATGTGTTTTGGAGGTTGGATTGGGTTGTGTGTTATGTGTTGTGGTAGGTTGCATTATCTTACACATTTTTCTCGCCTGAGTACAAATTTGATATTTGTCCGGGCTGGTGTGGCTCATGGGTTCCACTGCCTCTGTTACTAGATGGGGCTTGTGGGGGTTATGTTTGTTCCATCTTTGGTGGGGGACAAGGGAGGAAAGCAAGGGTGGGGAGCGAAAAAAGGAGGGGGGGGAAAAGGAAAAAAGGGAGGGGAGGAAAAAGAACAGGAAGACAAAAAAAAAAAAAAGAGGGAGGAGTAGGGGGGGGGCCAAGAAGACAAAAAAGCCGTGGTCGGGGCGGAGGGGTGGGAAGGGGGGATACGAGAGACGGAACGGGAGGGGAAAAGGCAAAGGGGGATGAGGAGAAGAGTGGGAAAGAAAAGAAGGAAAAAAGATGGGAAAAAGATGGGAAGGGAGGATTAGGAAATGTTAACCATGATGGATTTGTTTAGACGAATCGGGGAAAGGACGAAGTGTGTTTAAAATTAAGGGAAATCTAATTAGTTTTTAATTTTTTTAGATTAGTCATTATGTGTGGAACATGTGCTTAAGTAAATTGTAATGGAGTGTCATTTGTAAACGGTATTTCTATCAATGATATGATAGATACTGTACCAATCCGGGGACATGCCTGCTATTTTGGAAGGATATTCCAAATTCACGATCCATCATTACAGCTACTCAAATTCATGTAGGTGTCAGAAAAAATTTGCTAAAAGACAATTTTGTCCAAAAAAATGGGCATCATTGATGCCCATTTTTGGAATCAAGCTCAAAGAATCTTATTTTTATGTGCTAGATACTTGCTTCTATATATAGAATATTATAACTAAGGAAGGGAATCGACCTTGAAACGGCTTTTAACACTGCAAAGAGAAAGATCATTATATCAATAGTGAATTAGTATGCCAATGGGAAAATGGCTTCGACTTATAGACCAGTGATCATAGGTTCAAATCTCCATGACACATTTATTGTGTTTGTGTGAGAAAATCCCTCATTTCCTTCGTAACTTTGGCCCACCAAAACCAAAAAAAAAAAAAAAAAAAAAAAAGAAAAGAGAAAAAGATAAATAATAGTATTACTAAAAAGTTATAAAAAAAAAGTTCCGGCGAAAAATATAAAATATGTTTTATACTAAAAAGAGAAAGAAAAAGAAAAAGGTTTAAGCTACCTTGGCAATGGGTTGTAACTTGTAAGCCCAATTGGCACTGCCGATAGGCTGTCCTATGCTCAGCCCAGCCCAAATTAGATGACATAGAAACGAAGCTTAAGCCTCTTTCTGTTTCCAATTTCCCAGCACTCGAATTGGGCTAAAACCCTTAAAAGCCTAAAACAATAGTTTCTTTTGTTTTTTTTGGGTCAAAGTTATGAAAGGGAGAGGGTTTTCTCACACACACTGCTAAGATGTCATAAGGGTTCGAACCTGAGACCAATCATTTGCAAATTCAATGACATTTTCCATTAGACTAGACCTCTCTTGTTTTACAATAAGCAAACAAATGACCTTAGCAACATAAGGGGAGAACCCAAAAAAAAAAACGCTTGCCAACATAAAAACCGGCCATAATTTTATTTATTTATTTATTCACATTCACATACCTTGAGATTAACTACTAAGCTATAAGGTTATAAATTAATTAAAAATTAATGAGACAAATTAATCAATATGGAAGTAGTATGCATATGTAACCTTTCCCACAACAGAATATTGGTCTGATAATCCCTCACCTTTTTTTTCTTTTGTTTTTTATACAAACTATATTGTTGGGGGGTGGGGGTGGGTGGGGAAATTGAACATATGACCTCGAGTGCAAGAGTAAATGCTCTAAACCACTTGAGCTATAAACCCCTTGCACAATCCCTTGATTTATTAGTTAATCTTAGAAAGATTAGTCAGTGGAGTTTGACATCCAAAACCCTACTGCACCAACTGCAAATATGTTAGAATAGGCCAAGTAAAAATAAAATAAAATTCCCCAATGAGAGAAAGTTGAAGATAAGCCATTGCATGACATGTTATTCTATCTTGCAAGAAAAATGTTAAATAAATCAAAGCAGAGTTATAGTTTACAGTTTTCCCTGCCAAAGCTCTCCAAGAATGCATTTGATTTCACAATTCCATGCATTTCCTCCATGTTTGTGAATATAATTAAAATAGAAAATTAATGAAGAAACAGATATCAGACATTGGAGTTCCTGACTTTGATGAACATAGACAACTCTACTCAGTGCATATGCCTTATGCTCGTGCTAGTCAATGTCAACAGCAGAAAGCAGAACAACAAAGACCAACTTAAGCTGGTGGCCTGGGGGCTACTTCCACACGTACTTTCCACTACTTACACCTTTCATTATAGATACTCTCACAGGAGAAAGGTTTTCTTTTTTCTTTTTTTTTCTGACTTGAAAATTGAAAATTTTGAAAGTTGAAAGGCACTGGTAATCGACAAAACATGACTCTCCTTCACAAAGAAACATGGTACAGCAATAGAATCTTACTGAAGATGTCTAACTTATAAGAAAGTGAAAGCTGCTGGCCTCGAGAAAGTTCTTGGAAAAAAAGAAGAAGCAATGATTCATATATATAACTGAGCATATGTAGGCTTTTATACTTTCGGTTCAATTATCTTCAAGGCCAAAAAAAATGAAAAGGAAATTAAATTTAAGCGGTATGAGTACTTACAAATGAATTTCGAGCACACAATGTTATGTTAGGTCGACATACATCGTCGTATTATTTTCTATGATTTTATAACATGATATCAGAACTCTAGTATCGAATATTCCTTAATTATTTGTTACTTTATGTTTGTCTCTTAATTTGCAGATTGAGAGGCTGCTAAGAGGGAGATATCAACTTTATTATATTGTTTGGTCAATTTTCTAACAACTAGATGCTTTTTAGGTTGAATGCTTGTATAGCAAGCTGATCCTATCTTGTAAAAAAGTTAAAGCAAATAACTTGGCAGGTCATACTCATATCATGCCTATGGGCCTATGAGTAGCAACTTTCTTTTTCTTCTATGACCAACTCAATTAACATCTTCAACTGTGAAGCTTTGCAATTGATTGTCATACTCTGTTTTTAGGGTTTTATAGGAACACATTGCTAGTACATATACGCAAGATATTATGGCACACAACCCATTGATGGCACTTCAACAAAATAGTTATTTGCGACAAACTTTTTTTTAGGGGCCCCAAATGCTCTCACAAGAAACACTATTTCCAACAACAAAACTCTATTATGAAAGCATTTACAATGTAGTCCAACAGTCTATTGTCTTTGAAAAAACCGCTTTTTTGACTATAAAATGGCTTTTCCGACTATGTTTTACTTTCAGAAATGGGCTTTTTTTTTTCTTTTCTTTTTTTCCTGGTGTGGGTTATATGATATCATGAAGAACAGAATGATCAGTTTCCAATGCCATTGTCACATAAACATGGTCAAAAGCATTTCCATCAGTTCATGAGTTAGATCATGATAATGTTTTCCAATCACACGTGTCTGGGACTAGCGGACATAATCTTTCAAAACTCCATCTCAATATCCTAGAGAATTAGTTAGTATGATAAATATGTCTTCACAGAATCCAAACCCAATAATGGCCTTCCCTTGGCTAATTGTTTAATGCTTCAGCAAGAAATGATAGATTCAAATCTTCCAAAAAGAGAGAAGCATAATCTCCTCTTCAATTTATAATAACCATTTTTTAAAAGAAGAGAGACACATCTGCAAACCCTAAACATGGTGTGCCCTCCACTATTGCCAAAAGACATTACCCCTGTAATGACCAAATGCTTAAAAATATCCACATGCATCTATCTTAGCCAGATTTGTTTAATAGAGTAAGATTTCCTCATCATACTCATATTACTAGACAGATTATAATGTTCGACTGTGAATTTAACCTATACGTTCAAGCAAGAATCAATTTTATCAATGACGTAAATCCGCATTGGTTAAACGAATTGATAACTAATAGTCTTACCATATACCTAAAAAACTTTTCAAAATATATGCTCTGTCTGTGTGACAGAATCGTGCGCTGGTACACATTTCAAAATACATGCTTAGTCTGTGTGACATAGAGGGCTCGGATTAAACAGCACAAAAACTAAGTAGATAGGAATATGGTCTAAGTGATGAGGCCACTCAATTGAATATACATGTGATGTGGAGCAATTTGAAGCATGGTTTTAGAAGCATGATGTCATTTCATAAATTAAGCAGAGGACAACAACAAGATTGATGCCACGTATCACCATTATAGCAGAGAAAATGATGGGCAGCAGCTGTCAACTTGTCCGAAAGGTTGACTTGTTGACACTGTCAACCACCATATAAGAATTTGGACTCTTTTGGACCACTATGGCAGACAGTGACCAAAGCTCTCTCTTCTCTCATATCAAGTAGTGGTGTTGTCACAACAGGCATGGAGTGTATAGTATATAATAAGAGGATGGTGGTGATTGGCCCTACCCTGTGATATGAGGTATTGAGACTGCCTCACTTAGAGCGACCTTCAATGTGCAGAAAAATTGGTGTGAAATGGGGATAACATTGTTTTCTATTTTTGATCAATTATGATATATTAAATGAAAAAGTTATTATGCGTGACATATTTTGATTAGCCGAGAATAGCAAAACAATGCTATTCCGGTTCCACACAGGGTTTCTCATTCATGTGACTTACAGGGGCTGATCAGTGGCTTTTTGTTTTCTTTTTGCATGTATTTATGTCCCTTATCTGCTTCCTTCTAGCATCTCAAGTTCCAACTCTCTCTCTCTCTCTCTCTCTCTCTCTCTCTCTCTCTCTCTCATTTTGAAGCTGAAACGATGAAGCAAAGCTTTAGCTCAGGAGCTATTGTCCTATGCATTTTCTTCATCATTTCTTCGTCAACAATAATATCAGCTCGTCTCCTAGGCAACAAAGAAGGTAAATCCTAAACGATTGTGCATTGACAATCAACTAGCTTTTGCCTTGTTTGATGTAGATGAGGTCTCATGAGTTAAAATTTTCCCTCCCCAAACCAGAAATTAAAAGAAAAACAAATTAGCCTTAGCTTCTTCTTTCTCTTAGCTATAATTATGAACTAAAACCTTGGTGTCTTTGCAGGACAAGAGGATCAGGTAGAGCTCAATGCAATCACTGATGGGGGTTCACTTGTAGAGTTGGAAGGCAGTGAACAAATGAATGTATATTTTAAATTTCTTTTCTTTTCTTTTCTTGTTAATTAACCCCAACTAGTCATCAAGTTATATATCTTATACTCTTTGTTTTTTGTTGCTTTTGGGATATTATAGCAGTTAATTGGGGTGGAAGATTGCACTGATGGAGATGAGGACTGTTTAAACAGAAGGATAATGGCTGAAGCTCACTTGGACTACATCTACACCCAGCACCATAAGCCTTGATACTCTTCATAATGTAACTGTTACATCTAATTAGTAGATAATATGAATGTTTATATATGTATGTTCTCTTAATTATGATGACTTTGTTTACAAGTTAAACCTAAATTAGTTTTAGTTTATCATCATTTGATGTTCTTAATAAAATTACTATCAGAAGCAGTTACAACTTGTAAAACTTTATTTTATTTTTTATTTTTATACAAACAATATTCTACTTTAACTTAATCTAAACTACGAGAAGAGGGATTTAAACTCGAGTGCAGGGTGGGAAGAACATCAATGCTAGCCAACTTAGCTAAACAGAATCTGTTAAAAGCCAAGCAAGACAATCTAGGGTAGGTGATTTTGGGGTAGGGCATTGATTAAAGCTTTCCAATTAATTAAAAACAGGTAGGAAGTTGGACTTAGTAAATTTATACACAGATAACATAACAGATATCCATTTACTGGTTTCCACCAGCAGCATGGATCCTTCAAAACAGTTGGGAAGTCAACCAAATTTTGACTTGTAGTCCAAAAGCTCACGTGCAGGCAGGCACTATGAAGACAAAGCTTTTAATTCTGAACTGTGCTCCTTTTTAGTAGCTACTTTGGTGGCACTTAATGTTATGCTTACAGATGGAAACTGCTCATTTTAATACATCTGCTTGTAAAGTTTTCCAGTAATGAGAAACTACAGAATATTATAAGGAAAGTGTACATCTTCCCAGTTCTTTTACTTCAACAGTAATAATATTATAAGTTGTTTGGAATCCAATACTGATATATGTCTCTGTTCTTCTTCTTGAAGAGAAATGGGAAGTGATAGGTAACTTAAGATAGCTCTCCTCACTGCCTGAATTGTTGGACTCAGAGAAATTATTGGACTCTAAATTCTTAAGTGGTCAAAGAAGCCAACAATCTATGTCAAGTTTCAAGCTAACACTCTTTCTCGCGTGCATTCTTATTTTATCGGATTCAAACGACCAAAAAAAAAGAGGAATGGAGATTTGAGGGTTTTGAACCTAGGTGCCCTTCCTACATCGAAGGCTCGGATTATGTTAGACAATTATTAGACTCTAAAAACTTAAGCTATTACAAAATAAACTAACAGTGTATATCGAGCTAAATAGATCGCATCCTAACAATCACAAATCAAGATTAGTAATGTAGCCATTAAGCCTCCAATATCAACATTGTTAGCGAGTTTGCCATTCATCAGTAGCATATTCCATTAAACAATCATGAATTCACCATTTATGATTTTTTTTTCTCGTAGGAAGAACAGCTTTTGCATGTAGTCATATGAAAATTGCATCAATACTAAATAGGGGCTGTTGAAGAATATAAGTCTCACATCAGAAATTTGACAAAATAAAATACAAGATATAATGAATGGTTCCACTACTAATATCATTGAGGTTTTGTGATAAAACCTCACACCTATTGGGCTTTATAGGTGGTTAAATTGGAGACAATATCAGTATTGCTAGTAATGGGGCTGCTGACCCGTCTCTTTAAATTTAACATGGTATCAGAGCAGGTTGATTTATTGGGCCTAAATTGGGCATTTATCCTTACCCAGTATGTGATGTTCACATATTGAGCTTAAATGTTTACTTCTACCCCTTACCCAATATGCGATGTTCACATATTAGGCTTGAAAGTTCGCCACATGTGGGGGATGCGTGTTGAGAGTATGTGTCCCACATTGAAAAGTTGAAAAGTCTAATCTAAGTTTATAAGGAGTTGAACAATATCAGTGTTGCTAGTAGTAGGCTGCTAATCCGTCTCTCTGAAATTTAAGAAGGCCACATTCATGGATACAACTACTACAAAGAAGGAATCTCTTGAAAGTTAAATTAATCCTTCAAGGCATATCACCAAGTGAAAATTTCAAGGGAAAGTATCTATTATAATAATAAAAGAAAGCATAATGTATGTATCATAATTCACTATAATAATTTCAAAATAACAATATAATAAGCACATGTCCTCTTTACGAGCCATATGCTTTTGGGATGGATTATTTATATATTTGTGATGAAGCCAATGAAATCACCACCACCGCCATTCTTTTCTTTTAATTTTTCAATGTATTGCTTCTCTCCATATTTACTATATTTTTGGGTACAAAGGTACCACAAAAACACAGAATATACCTTAATTACTATGCAGATACCAAATCCGCAATGAAGGCTCCACTCTTTGGTCAGCCACCTTCTCTGTTTTTCTCTTCTGCACTAATTTATTTTGGTGCATTCTCACAGGTGTACCAATTTATTTTTTTATTTTTTTGATGCAAGCGTAATTGGGGGAGGAAGGAATCGAACTTAGAACCTCCAGTACAAGAATAAATATTCTTAACCACTTCAATTACAATTCAAGCCCCTTACCATAGGTCTACCAAATTAAGGATTTGAAATGGTTACAAACTCTAATTAGACCTCTGAAGCTTTGATAATTTATCTTGTGTATGGAAACTCAAAACCACTTTAATTCATTGGAGTCTGACTGGTCGGTTTGCTTTTGTTTCCTTACTTTACATTCATACACTTAACTTTTTACAAGAGGTGATGGTTTGCATTACCATATAATATGCAGGATCCCTTTAATTTACATGCATTCCATCAAAAAGCTGTGGCCAACCAAGTATAGTGCATGCAAGCTTCATAGCCATCAAACTGAATCTTAATGCATGTTTTAGCTCTGTTGCTAAATTGGTCATCTTCTTCAGTGCCTTTCTCCTTTGCTTTATCTAATTTATAATAACAGAAGAGCCATATAATCTGCCTTTATCAGAGGAGGGGTAGTGGCTTCCTGGTTGTCCAGAAGACATGGTGCTTTCAAAATTCTTCAAATTGAGAAACATATTTTTCTAACTAAAAAGCTCTGATATTTCTCTACCATAGAAGCTTTTAGAAAGCATCTTTAAACTTATATTTATCGTACTTTTCATTGAACTGAGAGAAAGTTTACCATATTTATTAGGTTATAATTACTTAGCATCACATACCCTCTACATGCTCCAACAGCCATAAAAATTACAAACTTTTATTCCATCATTGAAACGTGATGACAGGGAGATTTTTATTTTTTTCCCTCAAACTTTAGCTTTTAACTGTGCCACTCAATCTGGGGTAAGGCTTTAAGTCCCCCCATTTTCATTTTGATGATTAATAAAGTTTCCCTCGTACCGTCGAGGTTCGCTAAAAAAAAAACAAACAAACTACGCCACTCAAATTGAGTCATTTGGATGCTCTTTCTACATTGACCACATCTTTATAGCTTCAACTTAACAGAACCAATCAAGAGGCACCAAAGGAACCATATCCTTTCTTCCGCTAAACAAAATCGTCCGGTAAAAGTCAAGGGTTATAAGGTGATTTTGAGTTCCATCAACTAAAATTTAAGTATTACCTAAACAAGACGACTAACAATTGCCAAAATAACAATAGGGCCCAAATTGACTGGGACAAAATGCTTCATTAGAGGGAAAAAAAAAGACAGGAAAAAAGAGTCTTCATCAGGTAATATGCATCTAAGCTTCAAATCTTAATTTTTTTTAATGTCTTGCCCTCCCTCTACTCTATTAATATATGATGTCTTCTATCAATACTTGAAACCAGCTGAAAACTTTCCTTACTTGAGAACCGACTACAGGTTTGTCCTGGTTGATTTCCTTTGAAGCTGACAAATTTACAAGCTCAAATTGACCAAAAGAAGTGATGGTGAAATCTATAAACAAAAGGGTTTCTTCTGAATGTGAAATCTATAAATATTACCTCTCTTTCTTTCTTATTGGAGGCTTCAAATAGAACTGTTGATAAGGATTTAAGTAAGAAAAATTAGATTCCACTGTACTGGAGTCACACTTTAGCATCCAGGTTTGACTCTCATGTTATGCTAGAGAATTATAAGGTGTACCTATTTACAGAACTGCAACATTTTTAAGCATGCTATTTCAGCTTGTGTCTGCAGCATCATCTCCTCCTACTCATTACTAGTCCTCTTTTTTGTTTTTCTTTCCTCCAGCCTTGGCTGTTGAAATGTGAAACAGTTCTGAGAGGTCTTCAGGGGTGCGTGTTTTGCGGTCAAATGCTCTCACTCCCATAAAACCTGAAAGCAAAATAAAAAAAAATCATTAACCAGTAAGATTGTTAAATTTCATATGATATCATGGATGGCTATAAGCTTGCAGTTTTTATTTTATTTTTTTACAAATTTCCTTGATAAATGAGTGCTTTTATTTCACAGTTTGCACCCAGGAATCTTCTTAATTATTTCTTTCATTTTATTTTCAGATCTTGTTTCCCAACCTTGTTGTGTATAACTTATCTTAATAGTCATCACATCCTCTATGACATATTATGGATTCGTCCTCATACCAAATTGATGTTGGAAAACAATAAAAATGATACTTACATAGCAGTATAAAGGGGCAAACAAAGGGTTTTTATTTATAAAATTTGTTAAGGCTCTAATTAAAAGATTGTTCTGTTTTTTTGTTCGAAAAATTTGTTAAGAATGAGTTTTGCACAAATAATATAACTAATTGTGTTTTGACCTTGTTTATGAATTACAAAGGGTTGGATGCTCTTTCAGTATTACAACAAGCTATCAATAAGAAGCTGCAGGACTGGGAATTACAAACCTGCCCAAAAGCATTCCCTAACTTCCGCTATTTCTACACCTGCAGTAAGAAGAAATATTTGAGACATTTGTTTGACTCTTTATAGCGTTAGTGACACTCTCTTTTCAGAGAGTTTGGCATTTGTCAATCTCAATTGTGGACAATGCAGAGATCGCATTGCACACTCAGACATCACAATATAGGAAAATAGCATGCCAAACTGTCTTGCATGAGAGAATCACTCTACATATAATACATACAACTCATCTAATGTATGGATTATTCACCTTTGAGAATTGTACTTGTTGAGGTTCCAAAGTATGCAATTCGCCTATCTAGTCTCCATATCCAAGATCTAGGAACGTTAATCGGGCGTACGCTGGATTCA